TGCTCTGTTCCCCTCTGCCTGCTCCATTCCCCTCTCCCCAGGACATCTCCCTGCTCTGTTCCCCTCTCCCCGGGACATCTCCCTGCTCTGTTCCCCTCTCCCTGCTCCATTCCCCTCTCCCCAGGACATCTCCCTGCTCTGTTCCCCTCTTTCCAGAACATCTCCCTGCTCTGTTCCCCTCTCCCTGCTCCATCTCCCTGCTCCATTCCCCTCTCCCCAGGACATCTCCCTGCTCTGTTCCCCTCTCCCCGGGACATCTCCCTGCTCCATTCCCCTCTCCCCAGGACATCTCCCTGCTCTGTTCCCCTCTTTCCAGAACATCTCCCTGCTCTGTTCCCCTCTCCCCGGCGCTGTCACTGTCCCCGCTCCATCTCCCCTCTGTTTCCCCGGCCCTGCCCCGGCCGGAGGGTCCCGCCGGCTCCGCGGCCGCTGCCCGGGGCTGCTCTTGCGAGAGCGAAGCCAAAGCTTGCGCAGAAATCTGAAACCCGGCGAGACTTGGATTAGCAAGCCGAAACTCCGGCCAGGAGCCGGGCTTTGGGAAGAGCTTGGCAGAGTTTCAGGCGAGTGCGGGCTGGGTTTCAAGGGAGCCGAGCGTGACCTTTGCATGAGCCCGCTGCTGGCGGCTCGGGGAGCACGGGCTGGAATTTTAACAGAGCTTGGGGAGCGAGTTTCAGGCAAAAAAAAAAGAAACCAAACCCCAAAACCAAAAAAACTTAATGGGTTTGGGCAAAAACAATGCGGAGCTGGGGTGGTTTGGGGGTGATAATTGCTGCTCACCTGCCCCCAAACCAGCAAAACCAGCCGGGTGGTTGCGGCTTCGCTGCACTCGCAGTTTCACTGCAGGGTTAACCCTTTCCTCAGCTCGGAGCTGTTCCTCCCGGCTTTCCCTGGGCTGGATCCGAATTCCTGTTTTTTCAGGAATCCCCGGGGAAGTTTCCTGCGGGGTCCGGGCTGTTCGTGAGCAGCTCAGCATTCCCTGATCCCGGGCTGAGCTCTGACAGCTCGGACCGCGCAGGAATTTGTGGGAAGGAAGGGATGGATGGGATCGGGGGCAGATCCCGAGCTGGGAGGGCAGGGAGAGCACAAGGCCGCTGCTGTCAGTGCCTGAGGCACCGGGATCATCCAGCTAAAAGCGAAGGAGGAATGAGAAAATAATCACAAATAAACCTCTCTGTCCCGGGAAGGGCCGAGCTTGTCTCTCTCCTGGAGCTGTGGACAGATTTCTTTTTCCGTCGTGCTTTATTTTTTTTTCCATTGCTTTTGCTACAATCTCTCCCTTCCTGCCCTGCCGCGCAGCGTGTGATGGGTGTAGATCAGGGCAGGGAGGATCTTCCTAATCAAACCCACATTTCTCTGCATTGTCTGGGTTCTCTCCCGGGGAACTCAGCCAAACCCCCGCCCTCGGGAGCTTTCGGCCCTGCTTTGGAAAGCTGCACAAAGGTAGAATTCTCCCAAATGGAGTTTCTTGGGCAGGAAGGGAATTATTCCACATTGCCCCGAGAGCTCCTCTCCCAGAAACTGAGGTTTCTTTAGGCTGGGAGTGGTGAGTGCCGAGCCTGGAGCCACAGAAGGTGTCTCTATCCCGAAGGAAGTGCCCTCCACGGCATTCCCGGTTTTCCTGCCTTTTCCATGCCCTTGATCCTGGCTGTTTCTCCCACGCCGTGTCCCGCCAGGCCCAGGGGCCACAGCTGCTGCGTTATTCGGGGCCCTTCTCCCGTTACAGGTTGGCTTTGGATATTTATATCACAGCCAGATCCCAGGGCATCCATCTGGGACGTGCTGGGTGCCATCCACAGCATGGCTGGAGTAACTGCAGCGTCCCAGTGTCATCCCAGTGCTATCCCAGTGTCATCCCGGTGCCATCCCAGTGTCATCCCAGCACCATCCCAGTATCATTCCGGGGTCATCCCAGTGTCACCCACAGCATGGGGCTGGAGGAACGCCCAGTGTCATCCCAGTCTCATCCCAGTATCCCAGTATCATCCTAGTGTCATCCCAGTGTCCTCCCAGTATCCCAGTATCATCCTAGTGTCATCCCAGTGTCCTCCCAGTATCCCAGTATCATCCTAGTGTCATCCCAGTGTCCTCCCAGTATCCCAGTATCATCCTAGTGTCATCCCAGTGTCCTCCCAGTATCCCAGTATCATCCTAGTGTCATCCCAGTGTCCTCCCAGTATCCCAGTATCATCCTAGTGTCATCCCAGTGTCCTCCCAGTATCCCAGTATCATCCTAGTGTCATCCCAGTGTCCTCCCAGTATCCCAGTATCATCCTAGTGTCATCCCAGTGTCCTCCCAGTATCCCAGTATCATCCTAGTGTCATCCCAGTGTCCTCCCAGTATCCCAGTATCATCCTAGTGTCATCCCAGTGTCCTCCCAGTATCCCAGTATCATCCTAGTGTCATCCCAGTGTCCTCCCAGTATCCCAGTATCATCCTAGTGTCATCCCAGTGTCCTCCCAGTATCCCAGTATCATCCTAGTGTCATCCCAGTGTCCTCCCAGTATCCCAGTATCATCCTAGTGTCATCCCAGTGTCCTCCCAGTATCCCAGTATCATCCTAGTGTCATCCCAGTGTCCTCCCAGTATCCCAGTATCATCCTAGTGTCATCCCAGTGTCCTCCCAGTATCCCAGTATCATCCTAGTGTCATCCCAGTGTCCTCCCAGTATCCCAGTATCATCCTAGTGTCATCCCAGTGTCCTCCCAGTATCCCAGTATCATCCTAGTGTCATCCCAGTGTCCTCCCAGTATCCCAGTATCATCCTAGTGTCATCCCAGTGTCCTCCCAGTATCCCAGTATCATCCTAGTGTCATCCCAGTGTCCTCCCAGTATCCCAGTATCATCCTAGTGTCATCCCAGTGTCCTCCCAGTATCCCAGTATCATCCTAGTGTCATCCCAGTGTCCTCCCAGTATCCCAGTATCATCCCAGTATCCCAGTATCATCCCAGTATCATTCCAGTGTCATCCCAGTGTCACCCACAGCATGGGGCTGGAGTAACCCTGCAGCATCCCAGTATCATCCCAGTATCATTCCAGTGTCATCCCAGTATCATCCCAGTATCATCCCGGTATCCCAGTGTCATCCCAGTGTCATCGACAGCATGGGGCTGGAGTAACGCCCAGTGTCATCCCAGTATCCCAGTGTCATCCCAGTGTCATCCCAGTGTCATCCCAGTATCATCCCAGTATCATCCCAGTATCATCCCAGCATCTGGCACCTGAGAGCTGCAGCCAGGAATCCCAGGAAGGAACGGGAACCAAGATGGAAATGGGCCCCGGGCTCTCCAGTGCCACTAACCGTCCTTGGCAAGGTGGCACCGTGCCCCTCTGCCACCCCTGGGCTCAGGGACAGCTGGACATGCCCCTAAGGCCACGCTGGCCTTTCCTGGCCCCGCTGAAAGGAAGGGAAGGGGTGGCTGAGGTTTCATTTCCCCGTGGAGCTGTGTGGGTTCCTCCCTGGGCAGCCGGAGGGGAACACAGCCTGGGCCGTGTCCTGCTCCTGTGGGGTGTGTGTGGGGTGGGTGCAGCACGGCTGGGGCTGGCCTGGGGACCCCGGCCCCTTTCACGTTCCCTGCTGTGCTCTGCAGGCCGAGTGGAAAGGTTTCTGTGACCCAGCCCGGCTCTGAGAGAAGGAAATCGGCTGCGGCCAAGGAAAGGAAACCGCTCGGTTTCCCCTCTGCGTCTGCGAGGCGTGCGAGGGCAGCCGGAGCAGGGTGGGGATAGGAGGGGAAGGCGACAGCTCCTTCCTTCCATGTGCTCTTGGCCAGGGAAGCGTGTCCTGGGCACTGTCTGCTCCTGCTGCGCCTGGCCGGGGCTCTCCCGGCTCCCTCCCGGCCGTGCAGTGCGGGACAGCAGCCACCACGGGGAGCTTCCATCCCGCGGGATGGCCGGGCAGGACCAGGGCAGGAGCTGTCCCCTGCCCGCGGGGACACAGCCAGGAGCTGTCCCTTGCCCGCGGGGACACAGCCAGGAGCTGTCCCCTGCCCGCGGGGACACAGCCAGGAGTTGTCCCCCGGCTCCCTGGGGTGGACAGAGGGCCATGCCCATCACCTGACCCTGGGGAGGGTCCCCGAGGGGATGCAGAGCCCAGGGGTCCCTCCCAGCTCCCACAGCACCCCGGCCACAGCCATGTCCAGCTGGGGTGTCCTGGTGGCCGAGGGGACAGCTGGAGCCTCGGGGCAGGGCCGGGGGGCAGGGGGGCAGCAGGGCCAGGGGGCAGAACAGCCGGGGGGCAGGGGGCAGCAGGGCTGGGGGCAGCAGGAGCCTCGGGACAGGGCCGGGGGGCACTCTCGAAGCCCCTGTGCTCAGGCAGCTCTTCAGGGCAGCTATTTCTGGCCCTGGGACAGGGAGGGCGTGCTGGGGGAGGAAGGTGGGAGGAAGGCTCCGGGGCTCGTGGGAGCTGAGGGTTATTTCTGGCTGGGCTTCGTGACCTGCCAGGCCACCCTTGGCACTCTGCAGCTCCCCCGTGCCAGGCTCTCCCTGAGCCCGCAGCCCAAGGCTCCCAGCACCATGTGGCCCTGGGTGGCGTGGGACAGCTGCCACACACCCTGCGAGGTTTGTCACAAGGCCGTGATGCTGCCTGTGGTCTCCTGATGTCACCCTGCTGCTGCAATAAATGCCCTGGCAGCGCCCTAAATAGGTGAACCCTGCCCCGAGGTGATTTCGTGTCACCCTGGAGCGGGTGACTAAGGCAGAGAAGTGGCTCTGTGGGAAAAAGGACGGTCCCTGCCTCCCGGGTGTGCCAAAGGCCGGGAGCTCCATGGCCTGCCCCCCTTCCCTTCCCTGCTGGCCACCCCATGGAGTGACCCTGAGGGGAGCGGGGGGCACTGGGACCACCAGCCGTGGCTGTGGCACAGTCACACACACCTTGGCTGGCACCTGGCATGTCCCCACTAGTTCTATATATGGGCCTGCCCTCTCCCGGCCGGTGGCACCGGGATCTCAAGTGACACCAGGGAGGGAGGGGGGGGTCTATTTTTAGCCCCTGAATGGATCTGAGCTGGAGCCGGGCTCTCTGCCCCCGTCAAGGGGACGGCATCATGTTGTGCTGGGAGGGTTCTCCTGCGTGGCTCCTCGAATGGCTCCATCCCCGCCTGGCGCTGGGGGACAGGTACGATGGGCTTTGTCACCTCCCCGCTTGTCCTGCGGCCGGGTCCCCCCGGGCTGGGCTGGCCAGGGCCACGGGCAAGCAGCGGCTACTTCCGTGGCTTTGCTGGAATGTCCCGTTTGTGCTTCGTCAGGAACGCTCAGGAACATCAGTCCCTCTTCTTAAGGTGGATTGTAGGAAAAATGAGTAGGAAAGGGTGGGTGTGAGGTGTGATGCTGCTCTGGGGAGAATCCCAAAGCCCCGGTGCAGCTGTGGGGAGCATCCCAAAGGGCTGGTGCAGCTGTGGGGAGCATCCCAAAGGGCTGGTGCAGCTGTGGGGAGCACCCCAAAGCCCCGGTGCAGCTGTGGGGAGCACCCCAAAGCCCCGGTGCTGCCGTGCTGGGGCGCAGAGGCAGCAGGGACAGGAGGGGGTGGCAGTGGCTTCTCTCACTGCTGCCTGGGTTGTGTTCCAGCACAGCCATCTCCATCCCGCTGAGGCTGCCAGGGGCTGGGATTTCCAGCTGGAAACGGGTGAGGACGAGTAGATGGAAGGCAGGAACCGGGGAGGGGCACACGTCTCGCCTCCGTCTGCCCACACCGCTGGCACCCCCTCCTCCCTGACCTCTCCGTGCTCCCCCGCTGCAGGCATGGATAACTTCGAGTACAGCATCCAGCTGAACGACCGGGAATGGGCTGAGTTCTTCCAGGCTTCCGAGGAGTGCAGCCTGGCGCCCGTCTCGCTGGCCACGGCCGAGGAGCAGTGTCTCAGTGACATTGAGCAAGGGGAAGCTTCGGGACGGGACGGCGAGGTCGCCTCCAGGGCGGGCAGCGAGCCAGGTCCTGGCAGGGCCAGCGCTGCCCCACGTGGGGCCGGCACCGCCCCGCGGCTCTGCCCGGAGCGTGGGCACCGCTCCGAGCCCGAGCTGCTCCCGGACAGCGGCGGCGAAGCGGAGCCGGGCTGTGCGGGCGCGATCCCCGGTGCCAGGGCCGAGGCCGGGTGCCTGGCAGGCTCTGCCATGCCCAGCGCCCAGCGGAGGCAGCCGCCCCCCGGCCCGGCCGGTGCCTCGGCTCCGGGCGGCCCCGGGCAGGGAGCGGCCCCCAGCAGCCGGGTCCCGGAGCCCGAGCAGGGCGGGGATGCAGCAGCGGGACGAGCCCCGGTGGCACAGCCGGCGGCGCTGGCGCAGCCGGAGGCTCCGGCAGCCTGTGCCTCCGCCGAGGGATCGGCCGAGAAAAGCGCTGCCCCCTCGGAGCCCGGGCTGCGGGGACCCGCGGGGGACCCCCCGAGCCCGGCCCTGGGGACGGTGCCCGGGGCGGGCACGGAGCCGAGCTCTCCGGGCGGATCCCCCAGCGTGGTGAGGCCGAAGGTGCCGGCGCAGCCGAGGAAGAGCCGCAGGCAGCGCGGAGCCACCGAGGGGGACAGGGACCCTGCGGCGGCCGCGGCACCGGGAGCCACTGGAGCCGGGAAGGCCCCTCCGGGCTCCCCGATGTCCCCTCGGAAGGGCAAAGGGAAGGACAAGGCGGCAAAGGGAGCGCTGGTGAGGCTGGGCAGCGAAGAGGCTGCGGAGAACAAGCGGCCGGTGCCCGGTGTGGATGGCGGCGATCCCGGGGCTGCTCCCCCGAAGCAGAAGGGCAAGGAGCCGGGCCTGCAGTCCCCAGGGAAGGCAAAGGCCACCAAGCACCCAAAGGCAGGGCAGGCCGGTGGCTTGGGCGTACGTGACAGTGTGCCAGTGGTCCCTGGTGATGGAGCCGCGGCTCCTGCAGCAGAGGCGTGCCAGGAGATGCCAGGGAAACCTCTCCAGCCCTGGAGCTCGGCAGCGTTTGGAGGGAATGATGCTGAGGGGGCTGGGGGGAAACCTGCAGCTGAGATCCCTGGAATTCCTGCAGCTGAGATCCCTGCAGTTCCTGCAGCTGAGATCCCTGGAATTCCTGCAGCTGAGATCCCTGCAGTTCCTGCAGCTGAGATCCCTGGAATTCCTGCAGCTGAGATCCCTGCAGTTCCTGCAGCTGAGATCCCTGGAATTCCTGCAGCTGAGATCCCTGCAGTTCCTGCAGCTGAGATCCCTGGAATTCCTGCAGCTGAGATCCCTGCAGTTCCTGCAGCTGAGATCCCTGGAATTCCTGCAGCTGAGATCCCTGCAGTTCCTGCAGCTGAGATCCCTGGAATTCCTGCAGCTGAGATCCCTGCAGTTCCTGCAGCTGAGATCCCTGGAATTCCTGCAGCTGAGATCCCTGCAGTTCCTGCAGCTGAGATCCCTGGAATTCCTGCAGCTGAGATCCCTGCAGTTCCTGCAGCTGAGATCCCTGGAATTCCTGCAGCTGAGATCCCTGCAGTTCCTGCAGCTGAGATCCCTGGAATTCCTGCTGCTGAGATCCCCAGGAAGCCCTCAAAGGTCCCTGCAGTTCCTGCTGCTGAGATCCCCAGGAAGCCCTCAAAGGTCCCTGCAGTTCCTGCAGCTGAGATTCCCAGGAAGCCCTCAAAGGTCCCTGCAGTTCCTGCAGCTGAGATTCCCAGGAAACCCTCAGAGATCCCTGAGGTTCCTGCAGCTGGGATCCCATGGGAGCCTGTGGCTGTGATTCCCAGGAAACCTGTAGCTGAATTCCCTTGGGAGCCTGCAGTTGGCATCCCCAGGATTCCTGCAGCTGGGATGCCCAGGATCCCTACGGTGGGGATCCCTTGGGAGCCTGCAACAGGGATCCCCAGGAGTTCTGCAGTTGAGATCCCCAGGAGTTCTGCAGTTGAGATCCCCAGGAGTTCTGCAGTTGAGATCCCCAGGAGTTCTGCAGTTGAGATCCCCAGGATCCCTGCAGCCGAGATCCCCAGGATTCCTGCCATTGAGATCCCGTGTGAGCCTGCAGCTGGGATCCCCTCGATTCCTGCAGCTGGGATCCCTTGGGGAGCTGCAGCTGAGATCCCCAGGGGGACGAGCCCCCTGTGCTTTGCTGATGGAGCCTCTGGCAAGCCCAGCTCTCTGGATGTGACCTGGCCCGAGATGTACGAATACCTGTTCTGCGATTCCCAGGAGGAGGAGGAGGAGCTGGGCAGCTCCGTGGAGGGGCGCAAATCGCCCTTGCAAAGGGAAATCTCCTGGCCCGAACTGTACGAATATTTTTTCAATGAACCCGAAGGAAGCAGGAAAAAAGGCAAAGCTAAAGACAGGAAAAGAAAGAAGCCCAGCCGCTTGGATCGCCCTGGGCTGCAAAAGGAGGCTCCCAGCTCGGCTCCAGGCGAGGACACCGTGGTTATCCCAGTCCCTGATGTGTATGAACACTGCTTCCCAGAGAGAGCCCACAACAGGATGGGCTGGAGAGGGATTTTCTCAGTGGCTCCGGCCTCCGAGGTGAAGAAAGCTGTGGGGGCTTTGAGGTCCCTGCTGCAAAGGCAAATCCAGCTGGGAGGAGGCCAAGCCCCAACATCCCAGGCCCTGGTGCCCAGAAGATGCGGAGAGAAGCTCGCCCTGGTCCCGCTGGGAGGAGCCCAGGTGTGGCCAGAGGATGCAGACACGGCCCTGGCACTGAGAGGTAAATCCTGTTATCCCCTGTAGGGACATGTGGGATTCTCCCTCAGGATTCTCCCTCCCTCTGTCCCCATGCCAAGCGGGTGCTCCTGACCAGCTCCCCCAGCATGGACAGGGAATGTGGGACTGTAAAACCCACTGTGATCAGAAAAACACCCTCAGGAGACCTCAGAGGTCACCTGAGCATTGCCTGTTCCTGGAGGCAGGTGAGAGAAATGGGAATAAAGGGAGAAGTTTGACCCACAAGGACAGGCAGGGGATTTGTCTTTGAGCTCAAATGATGCTCAGAGCCTCAGAGTTAATATTAAACCCAAACAATGAGGGAGCCATCCCAAAGGGAGCCTCAAAATCAAGCTTCCAGTCTGTTTGTATGGAGAAAAAAACCCTTTGAGGTGGTCACAGCTAATTAATAAGCCAGTTTTAATTAAAAGCCTGATCAAATGAATAGGAGCAAAAATAGTCTGATCTTGAGCTAGGCCTGCAAGTTCTTGCAGCAGGGCAGGGAATGCAGGGCAGGGAATGCAGGGCAGGGAATGCAGGGCAGGGAATGGAGGGCACTCAGGGATTTCCTCATCCCTAGAGGAGGCAGGAGAAGGCTGGGGTGCCTGGAGGGATGCTGAGCACTCTCGGGTGCTGTGCCTGGGGACACTGGGGACAGGAAGGACACACAATTCCTGTGTCCCCAGGAATTGCTCTGTCCTAAATCTGCTGCCCAGACCTGATTCCAGCCGCCACAGAGAGCTGGCAAGATCTGCAGGGAGGTGGTGAGGCAGCCTGGGTGGCTTTAACAAACGTTTCCTTGGGGTTTTGAGCAAAGTGTGAGACTGAGAGGGGTGACAAATGTGCCACTGTGCCCTGGGAGTGCACAGAGCCCTGAGCAGACCCCTGTGACTTCACCCCTGACCCAAAACCACCTTCAGCGATGATGTCCCGGGAGCACCAGGGATTTGCTGTCCCACAGGGAGGGGAGGGGTGGCAGAGGAGGTGGCACGAAGCCCCCAGACCTCGTGCTGGTGTCGTGGCAGGAGCAGCAGAGGACCCACGGGTGCTGAGCCACAAGGACATGTGCCTCGTCTTCTGCGCCTTCGCGTCCTGGGCGGTGAAGACATCTGACCTGCAGGCTCCGGATGCCTGGAAGACCAGTACGTACAGTGCCAGCCTGGAGAGGGCTGGGCAGGGCTCTGAGGGACACTTGGCAGGGAGAAAAACCGGGGTACTTATACCTGCAGTGGGGAAATGCAGCCTTTTCCTGGTTTTCCAGAGTCGTTTCCATGCCTTGTCTCCCCTCTAATCCCGATTCCCGCTCACTTCTTTTGTGCTTTCCCTACAAAGTGGCTGCTGAGCTGAGCTGTATCCACAGCCTTGCTCCATCCAGCCCCTGACAGGGATTGGTTTGTCAGGGCTTCCTCAGGAGTCAGAGTCAGCAGGTTTAGATTCCCTCATCCCAGCTGGAACAAAATTCCCGAGTTTTTCTGATGTGCTCAGAAGTTTTAATCTTCTCCCCAAACACAGCTCAGCTGAGGCAGCATCTCCTGCACAGAGTCCTGCAGTTCCCTGGCGATCTGTGGGATCCTCTCCTCCCCAACCCCAGCACTTGGAAGCTGGTGGGGAGAGAGGAAGCTGAGGAAACACAAATTCATGGAATCCCACAGGAGGGGGATGGCTGCATGAGCAGGGAACGGCTCAGGGAGAGCAGCATTCCCAATGGCCTGGAGAAGCCTTCCAGAGCAGCATTCCTCAATTCCTGCCCTGGAACACCCCTTCCATGGGAAGAAATGCCAGGATCAAGGCTTCCCGCTGCTTTTCCAGGCGAGGAATGTTCCCTGCGAAGGTCACCAGGAAGCTGACACCCCAGGCTGGGAATAGCTGCTGAGCTAAGGCTGCTCAGTGCCGTCATCACCAGCAGCTCCTGGCCTGTTCCCCTTGGCTGCTGAGTTTTTGGGATGGAGGACGTGGCCCTGGGAAAGGTGTGGAAAGCGGGATACGCTCCTCGTGCCCCGGGATGGAATAACCGGGAGAGGAGGGAGGCAGGAGCGGTTCCACAGCCCGGAGCAGTCGTTCTCTCTGGGCATTTGGGCTTCTAACAAGCTGAATTTGTAGTCCTCTACCACATAAATCAAAATCCAGCCTGAATTTAAAGCTTTGGAGTCCAAAAACACGGCTTGGATTCCCAGTTTTGCTTGGGAATCAAGGGCACTTAAACCAAATCAAAAACATTTGGGTGCAAGTACAGAGCAGAGCTTGATTTGTGTTTCATCCCCATTCGTTATTTCTTGTGTTCCTACATTTTTTGATTCAGAGTTTTGGATATTTTCTGCTTTTGGCTGGGACCAGAAAATCCCCAGAAAATCCCCAGAATGAGAATTTTCTTGGTGCCCTCCTGGTCCAAACAGAAGCAGGAGATGAAGGTGCTGTCCTGAAAATCCTGGTGGGATTTTCCTAGTGTGTATTTCTCATCCAAGATCAAATCTCCAGCTGAACCTGTGGCTCCAACCAATCCATGAAATCCCCATCTGGATCTGTGTATCCACCCAATCCATGAAATCTCCCTTTGGATCTCTGTATCCAACCACTGCACATCACCTATTGAGCATTTCCCTTAAAAACAGCCATTTTTATGGAATGCTGGTGTCTCCATGTACCCAAACTCTGGGATTTGATGTGGCCAGTCAGGCTTTGGGCAGCTGGGAACAAATTCCATCGCGGAATTGTGGAATCCAAATTGTGGTGGGAATGAAAATCAAAGGCAGGAGGGGACTGGGAGAGGGAGAGCAGCGACCCCCCCGTGTCCCACGGAGCAGTTTGGGACCCCCAGGGCTGGGAAAAGATCACGGAGTCACCGTGGGAATGTGTCGGGCTCTTTTCCAGTGTTCCTGGCGAGTTTTGGCACCCTCTCGGCCATCCGCTACTTCCGAAGGCAGGTCAGGGAAGGGCACCCCCGGACTTAACCCCTGCCGCGCCGCAGCCGCTGCCCGAGGCCGCCGGGCAGGGGCCGGGACTTTGTTCTGGACGCTGGGACAAGGCTGGAGCCAGCAGCGAGAACTTCTCCGGCCCCATCCCCGCCGGGCCAGGGAGCGGGAGCCTGCCGGGAACGGGAACTGACGGTAGGACAGGACAGGACGGGACAGGGAATGGCCCCGGTCCCTCCGCCCTGCTGCGGTCACCTGGTGACGCTCGGAGGAAGCGGGGAAGAGCTTCGTCCCGACAAAAGAGCCGGGATATCTGAGAAGGAGGAAAAGACGGCTTTGGGAAGAGCTGGGCTGCGGGGGGATGGAGGGGCCGCTCCCTCGGCACAGCCCGGCGCTCCCAGCACCGGTTTGATCACAGATCCAGCCCCACCAGGGCTCATCCTCTTGCATTTCGCTCCAACAAGTCCCAGCTCGATGCAGCAGCTCGGGGATAAGGTTTCTGTCGCACGTGGCATGCAGGATCTGTCCCTGGGGACACGTCCCGGGGGACAGGACGGGCAGGGGACACGTCCCGGGGGACAGGACGGGCAGGGGACACGTCCCGGGGGACAGGACGGGCAGGGGTCGCTCGGGGGAAGGGGCAGCCGGGGGGACCCTGCGGGACACGCACAGGGTGGGAAGGGCAGCAAGGAAAGGGGCTGAGCTCAGGGAATTCTCAGGAAAGAGGACAGGGGGATGTTGGACAGGAGGGAGAAGGATGTGGGCGGGTTTGGCTGTGCCAATCAGCAGGGAAAGGGTCTGGATATTTGATTTATTTCCTTTTGTACCTCCCGTGCTGGGGAGACAAGGCTGGCGGGGGGAGACGTGGGCTGAGGGGGCCTGGAATGGAAAGTGTGAGAGGAAAATGGAACAGTTCCGTTTGCCCCTCTCCCCAGAGCCTCCATCACCACTCCAGGGCATTATTGAGGAGGAATTTCCTTCCCTCACGGGGCTGGTACCAGCAGCAATGTGGGACTGAGATCACAGAGGCTCTGAGGGCAGTCAGGGCTGCGGTGTGGGAGCTCTGCAGGATCGCTGTGCTGTCTCTGAGAGCAGAGAACACAGGTTTCTGTCCTTGTGCTCAGAGTGCCATCAGGCTTTGGCGTGTGCAGGGGTGGGCTGGAGGCCCTGGATTGCTGCTGACAGGAGGGCACAGCGAGATGTGGGACTGGGAGTTAGAGCTGGATGGGCTCTGTGTGGGCTGGAGCAGCTGAACACCCACTGAGAGGGGTTCTGTGGAGGAGGAGAACACAGGGAATGTGCTGGAAGCTTCTAATAAAGTTCTGTCTCATTTACTACTCCTGTGTCCATTCCTCTGTCTGTGGGGAGCGTTAAAGGAGTCCTGGGCTTTCCAGGAGGATAAATCAATGCCCTGTGTGTGTGTGGCTGCAGAAGGGCAGGGTTTGGAGCCCTGGGCACAGAGCAGGCAGGGGGATGGGGCTGTGTCCCCTGTCCTTGGCTCAGTCCCCGTTCCTGCCCCTGGCTGTCACATGTCACCAGCAGCCGACACAGAGATCCCTCCTGGCTCGGCTGTCCCTGGCTCGGCCCCAGGCAGCTCCTCTGGACAGAGCAGGGAGATGGAGACACTGCCCAGCAGCACAGCCTCCATCCCCTCCCTGCTCCCACATCCCTCAGCAGCCAGGAACAGCTGGCACTGCCTCCTCAGCTCTGCTGGCATCCGCGAGATTTACCCCTGGCCTAAATGGTTTGTGTCTGTCCCAGGGCTTGAGGATTTCACTGAAACTGGGAGGGTTTCTGGCAGAACCCTCTGCCAGAACACCTTCGTGCCGAAGCTGCTTTTGGTGCGTGGCCTGCTCCAGGGGCAGGGAATGGGACAGGGCTGGGGTGTGGAGGCTGCCTGTGCCCGGGACAGCGGCATCTTTCCCAGTCCTTCCCATCTTCTCCTGGCTTTGGGGACCAGTCCTGCTCCAGAGGAGAAACACCAGGCCCTTGGGGTGGGGACAGTGCCTCCTGGCTGTCCCTGAGCTGCTCCAGCAGGGAAGGTTCAGTGCCCCCAAATCTTCCCCCTCCAAAGGATTTGGGGGAGAATAGTGGGAATACCCCGCTGTCCCCATGCCTCTATCCCAGTGCTCTTCCCAGGAGAGCTGAGCGCTCCCAGGGGTGACAGGAGGTTCCTGTCACCCTTTGCTGTCTGTGATCTTCGCTGTCTGACCCTTCAGAGCTCGGCTGGGAGATGCCAGCAGGACTTGGCACCCCTCCCTGCCCCAAGAGCGCTCCTGGCAGGTCCCAGCCGCGCTCCACGCTCCTTTTGATCCGCCCTGCAAGGGGAGGGTGGGATGAATATTTCAGGAGCTGGATGCTCTCAGCCGGCCGCAGGAGTGAAAGGAATTATGGAAAGGTCCTGCTGCTGTCGGGTCATCTGGGAGCCTCTGCCACGCTCAGCCAGGGAGGAGAGCAGCCTGAAATTTTAACGCTTGGTTTATTCTCTGACCTTTTCAGCTCTCTCCTCTGCCTCACAGCAAGGCCGAGCGTGCCTGGGATGTTTTTCTCCACGGCCAAAATTGAGACAAAACCTCACAAATTCAATATACCCAAGGATTTCTCCCAGACAAAAGCTGTCGGGACCGAGGGGCTTTGACCTCCTGCGGGCAGCCAGGAGCTGGCACGATCGCAGCGACCTTTGGGTGCACCGTGGGCGCCCTGAGGCTGCTGCCGGGAGCGGTGCCATCCCTCCCTCGCTGTGCCCCGCACGTAGCTCCCTCATCTGACACCTCCCCATGTGCCAGGCACATGAAAAAGTCAGGCAGGTGCTCCCCGTGTTTCATCCCTCCCGGACGCTCAGGGATGTCTCTCCCCCTTTGCTTGGGAATGGCTTTGGCCCAATTCCTTCGCTTGGATTTTTTTTTTTTTTCCCTTTCACTTCTCGCTGCTGTAACCGGAGCAGAGCTTCCCGTGGGAATTCCTGCGGCCGTTCCCGGCTTTCCGCTGCCCTCCAGAGGGGTTTTGGGGGGTTGATGCTGTGTCAGCCCCGGCAGAGCAGAGGGAGGAGTGACCCTGGGAGCGGCAGGAGCTCCGCTTGCTCCTCGGAGCAGGGAGAGCTCCGCATTTTTTGGTGGATTCTCCCACCCTCAGGGCGCTCGGGGAGTTGCTCCTCACAGCCCGGAGCGGATCCCGAACATCCCTGGGATTCGGGAAAGCAGGGATGGGTCCATCCCGAATTTCCTGTCCAGCAGAAACTGCGCCCCGAGGAATCCCCCAGCCTCAAATGGCTTCGTAAAGATAATAAAAACACAGGACCAGGCTGATTTCTGCTACTCCCTGTGTGTTCTCATGGGGAATTTCTCCCAGCTCCCAAAGCCAAAGGAAAAGGTTACAAACTCTGCTTTCTTCTGATTATTTTCCCCCGAAATTTCACTGTTTATTCTTCGAGAGGGGAAAAAAAAAGTTTGGAATTGTGGCTTAAAATTCAGAGAGCAGAGAGAAATCCAACATTCCTGCTGCGGCCAGGGGAAGGATGGGCTCAGTGGTCGGGATTTAAGAGGTTTTTGTGTGTTTGCAGGTACCAATTTCCACCTCAATGCAACCCAGACAGATCTAAATAAACCAGTTTTTAAATCCTGAGTCTGCTGAGAAATGTGTTGGAGGAAAAGCAGGAGCAGGGGAATTTTTACAGCCACAAACCTGGGCCAGCATCCGAAGAGGGAAAACCCAAACCCAGGTCCTGACAAACGCTGGGGAGACTTTGGTCAAGGATTAACCCGAGCTGGAGACACTCAGGAGTCTGGAAATCCTCCTGGACATGGACCCCAGACCTCCCTGGGCAGTGGTGATGGGCAAAAATTCACCTTCATCAAAGCAGAGGATGGCAAAGAGAGGGAAATGATCCCGGGGGATGGCATTGGGATTGTCCAATCTCACAGAAATCCACAAGGAACTTTAATATCAACAGGAAAGGGATCTCCCCCTTTGATCATTGCTGTTGTAAGTGCATTAAAATACGATGGTGACCCTCAGAGTGCTCACTCAGGGGCATGGGAACCTCCCAGGGCATTTGAGATGTCCCCTAGCACAGTTTTGTTCAGAATAAATAGATCTTTGGGGGGTTATCAGCTACAAATCCTCTCCCCAAAACAGAGCAAACCTGAGAGAAAACAACAACAGCTCCAAGACCCGAGCCCACACGGCCCTGAGCGTGCCCCTTTTACAGAACTGAACACCAGCCACAGCTAGAAAATTAAATAGCTCTTCAACTCAGCCACATTTACATTTAAATACACAGAACCCACTCAGACTTTACATGTAAACTTTGTTGGATACCTCCTAAAAAAAAGAAAAAGAAAAAGAAAAAGAAAATACAACCAGAGATATTCAAGTACAAATTGTTGTGGTTGCACCAGAGGAAGAACCAAAGCAGAGGTTTTGTTGCTGTGTTTGATTTGCAGCCTCTGCAGGGAACAAAGGTTAAGAATTTAGAGCCTCAGGTGAAAACACTGGGATTTGCTGCTGACCTTCTAAAGGATCTGGCCTAAGAGGCTGGAAAACCATAACCCTGAGATTCTGTCCCTTGTTTGTGTCCTGTCCTGGCTCTGGAGGGGCCCAGAGGGACATCAGGGACATTCCAGCTCCCCTGGCACTGCTCTGTCTGCGGGGCTTTGCCCATCCTGGAGTTTCTCCTGCAGGGAATTTCCACAGGCAGCATTTGGGGTGAGCCCAGATGGGCTGGGAGGGATCCCCTGAGGGGAATTTGGGGTTTTCTCTGCAGGGAGGACCTCAGGGAGCACACATCACCTGGCATTTTTGCTGTCACCAGGTTTGGAGCCAGCACCGGCAGGAAGGAATTTTGCTGGCATGAAGTGGAAGGGAAATCCCACTGCGCTCGGATCTGGTCGGGGTTTTTCCCCCTCCATCCCCTCTCTGCTGCTTCTGGTGGTGCAGGAGGACAATCCTGGGAGCTGCCAGCCCTGTGTGCCAGGGTGGGGAATGTCCTGAGCCTCCAGAGCTCACCGGGGGAAGCTTTGGCTGCTCCCAGGGGATCCTCAGAGGGACCAGCTGCGGGCTCTGGGGAGAAGAACCCAACTAATCCAGGCTCCTTTTTGGTTTAATCCAGAGCTGCTCCCTCTGGACACCGAGTCCCTTTCACCTGAGGGAGCCTGACCCTTTCTGCTCCTCGATTTTCAGGGGGCAAAGCTGTTCTCCCTGAGCCCCCTCCTGCTCCTACAGCCCCACAGAGCCTGGGGCTGCTGTGCTCTGCCCCCACCCTCGGATTTAGGGCAGGGATTGGAGCCCTGGGCTTGTGGAGCCACAGGGAGCAGAGCTCAGGGCTCTTCCCTTCCTCAAATCCCAGATTTAGGGCAGGAATTGGAACCTTGGAGCTGTGGGGCCATGGGGATCAGAGCTCAGGGCTCTTCCCTTCATCCCAGATTTAGGGCAGGGATTGGAGCCCTGGAGCTGTGGGGTTGTGGGGAGCAGAGCTCAGGGCTGTTCCCATCACATCCCTGGGCCCCTGATCCCGAAGTGAAGCCCAGGGAGGGAAGGGCCCGGAGCTTTTCCCCGGCTGGAGCAGCCCTAGACGTGGTAGATGTGCTGGGCACACGGGGAGCAGCGCGAGCCCGGCTCCCTCTCCTCAGCCTCCCACAGGTTGTCGTAGCTGAAGTCGCTCTGGAAGCTCTGGAAGCTCTGGAAGCTCTGGAAGCTCTGGAAGCTCTGGAAGCTCTGGAAGCTCTGCAGCTCGGCGTAGTCGTGCTGGGACGGGCAGTCCTGGCAGGGACAGGGGACATCGGCCAGCTCCTGGGGACCTGAGCTGCCACCTGCACCGAGAGGGGGAGCAGCATACATGTGTATATGGAATATCTAATTAGACATGTGTATATGGAATATCTAATTAGACATGTGTATATGGAATAACTAATTAGACATGTGTATATGGAATATCCAATTAGATATGTGTATATGGAATATCCAATTAGACATGTGTATATGGAATATCCAATTAGATATGTGTATATGGAATATCCAATTAGACATGTGTATATGGAATAACTAATTAGACATGTGTATATGGAATATCCAATTAGACACGTGTATATGGAATATCCAATTAGACATGTGTATATGGAATAACTAATTAGACATGTGTATATGGAATATCCAATTAGACATGTGTATATGGAATAACTAATTAGATATGTGTATATGGAATATCTAATTAGACATGTGTATATGGAATAACTAATTAGACATGTGTATATGGAATATCCAATTAGACATGTGTATATGGAATATCTAATTAGATACGTATATATGGAATATGTAATTGTATATGTATATGTAATATGTAATTATATACGTGTATATGTAATATGTAATTATATATGTATGTATAGAATATGTAATTATATATATGTATATGGAATATCTAATTATATATGTGTATGTAATATGTAATTATACATAAGTATATGTAAAATCTAATTATATATATGTGTATATCTAATATCTAATTATATATTTATATGTAATATGTAATTATATATATGCAATATGTAATAATATATATGTATATGTAATATGTAATATGTAATTTTTATATATATGTGTGTATGTGTATTTATATAAAATTAAATTATATATCTATAAATATACATATAAATAGATATTTATATTTATATCCATATATATTTTATATATATATGATATATTAAATATAATTTATTATATTATAATATATATACATACATATATATACATATATATGTATGTGTATATATACAATATTATATATTATATATATTTTATATTATATATATATTAGATAATATATATAAAATAGATATAAATGTGTATATATAATGTATATATATAATCATATATTAAATTATGTATAATATAATTGCATATTAACATATATATAATGTATAATATATATCGTTATATCTGATATATAAATAATATCTTTAAATAATAATAATAAATTATTTTAATAATAAATAATGATAAATGTAGAATATAGAATAATTTACTATAAAAATAGATAATTGTAAAAATTAATAATATTTTAATATTATGAATAACATATAATCGGTAATAATATTATATTATATTATATTATATTATATTATATTATATTATATTATATTATATTATATTATATTATATTATATTATATTATATTATATTATATTATATTATATTATATTATATTATATTATATTATATTATATTATATTATATTATATTATATTATATTATATTATATTATATTATATTATATTATATTATATTATATTATATTATATTATATTATATT